GTACTTGACTTTTGGGTCAATCTCCTTTGAAATATGACCTGGCTTAAAAAGGTCAAATGTAAAAAGGCAAAAACCCCTATTTGCAATTTTTATTTAATTTTTTTTTGTGGTTAACATTTTTTAAAATTTTTTCTTTTTATTTACACCTTCAACTTTTCAAAATTTGTGAAAAATTCAATATTTTAATGCGTCATCACGAAAACGTTAATAATTGTTAAAAATTGTAATACGTGGTATCAAACCAAGCTAAGATCTTCATCCACACAATTATAAGTAAATGAATACTGCACAAAAGCATGATATGCATCTTCTACCCTTTCCCACAAAAATCAAAAAAACCGTTATTGCCATTCATGTTAATCCCACTTGAACTCCAATTGGCAACCTGTTCAGAAACAATCTCCAAGCAAAAATACTCACCTTTCCAACAAAAAAATTATTCCAAATTGCTTTGTATAAAATAGAAAACTAGGATAAATACATTCAAAATAAAAAAAAATGGTCGGAACCTAAAATCTAGGTTCCTGCGCAGAACCCAGAACTAGGTTCCCTGCCAAGAACCTAGAATTTGGGTTCCTGCGAGGAACCCAGAATTTGGGTTCCATAGAACCCATAATTTGGGTTCCGTAGAACCCATTGAGAAGAGGATGGTGAAGATGATGCCAAGGATGAGGGGGAAAGAAAAAGATGAAGAAATGCCACATCATAAAAAAAAAAAAGAGTCCACATTGGGGATTAATAAGGTGACATATTTATGTTATTGTTTGGTACTATGTATTATAATTTTTTGTTGGTCTCACTGTACATGTGGCGTCTATGTATGCAGAAAATAAGCCACAACCTCAAAAAAAGGATTCACATTGGATTACTAACATCACATAGTGTTACGTCAATTTATGGGTGCCATGTAGTGCATTTTTTAATGGTGTCGTGACGACGCGTTAAAATATTGAGTTTTTCATAAGTTTTGAAAAGTTGAGGGTGTGAATAGAGAAGAAAAATTTTGGAAGGTATTGATTGGAAAAAAGAATTAAATAGAAGGCGCAAATCGGGACTTGGGCATGTAAAAATGGCTTCCCAATATTTTTAAATCCAAGAAAATTAGTATTTGAAAAAAAGTTAAAATAAATTGCCACATTAAAATTT